GGTCTCCGGACACTGCTGGCTGCCTACAGCCTCACCGTGCTGCCCGAGCTGCCCCGCAGCTCCACAGCCACCTCACAGCCCCACGCTGCCAGCCAGGCAGCCAGCGACATGAAAGTGGCTTATGTCTCTGCCATTGTCACCTTGGTGGTGCTGTGCACCGTGCTCAGCACCGTCCTCCTCTATGTGTCCTGCTTGGAGAAGCGCAAAGGCAAGTACGTGCTGGGGGAGCCGCGGCCAGCCAGTGTCGAGCCGCAGCGCGGCTCCACCGGGAAGAGGAGGAGGAGGAGGAAGAGCTCGCCTACCCCGATGGCTGCCTGCGGATCATCCCTGGCGAGGCACCCACAGCTGCCACGTCCCCGGTGAAGGAGCTGCCCGCTGCCGTGCCCCCGCTGCCACCGCCACTGCCGGCTGAGCTCACCAACGGTGTGGGGACTCTGCCCAATGTGCTCCGCAAGATGAATGGTAACAGCTACATGCTGCTGCAGCAGCAGGAGAGCGCGTCCTTCACTGAGGAGCTCAGCAAGATCCTGGAGAAGCGGAAACACACGCAGCTGGTGGAGAAGCTGGACGAGAGCTCCGTGTAGGGGCCGGGGGGGGGCTGCCCACACGACCCTCCCCCCCTCCCGGCCCAGCGGCCCCCCCCCCCCCTCCGGCCCCTTCTCCCACCCCCTGCCAGAAGTGTTACAAGACAGGCAAAACTACCTCCTGGATGGCACAGCCGGGCCAGGCCTGGGCTTGGCCATTCCTTTGGCTTTTCTGTGACTTTTGAGACTTGCTATACAGAAAAAGAAGCAACTATTTAAATTTGGAGCTCTATTTATGTATAAAAACCCACTGACGGTGGCCACAAGCTGGAGGCAGGAGCTGGCACCTGGCTGAAGATGGACCTTGGGGGGAGGGAGAGCTTCTGTCCATCCAGGTGTGAGAGATGCTGTTGTGGACACATGGACTTGGCCTGCCCTGCTGGGTGTCCCTTGGCTGCTAAGAGGTGGGTGAGGAGCAGGGAGCGGGCTGGGGGCTGCCACATGATGCCTGTACCTCTTGCAGGACAGGGAGGGGTTCCTCAGCTTTCTGCTCGCAGGAGAAGGGCTTTGGACACGTCATGTGGGGGGTGGCTACCAGCTCCTGCCCACTCTCCCACATCTGCCCCCAGGGATGGCTGCAGGAGAGGACAGTTCAGTGAGTGTTGGAGCCGGGGTGAGGAGCTGATGTCCAGAATGTTCTGGAGCAGCTGGTGGAGTGGTGTGTGCCTGCTCCGAGGAGGATACAGGTAAAACGCAGGGTTGGGTGACCGGAGGAGGTGGCGCCTCTGTGGCCTCTGACCCTGACAGGTCTCTGCCTTCTCTCCCCAGGGCGCTGCAGAGGAAGAGCAGGATGCAGCAGCAAGACACACTGGCAGCAAGAGAAGCCATGTCTGAACCCTACGGTGTGACAGGGGACTAGCACAGCACCAACATCCCCCACAGCTTTCTGCAGTGCCCATTTCTGCCCCATGTTTCTGTCCTTCTGCATGGTGCTGCTGGAGAACTGAGGTTCAGGCACAGCCCTGTCCACCACGGGACATGTGGGAAGGGAAACATCCTCACAGAGCAAGGAGAGGAGGAGTCCTGGACAAGGCCTGTCTCTCACTGGGGCCTCCTGCCATTCATGGCATTTTCAAGGGGCAGCCATTGTCCCTAAATCCCCCCCCCCAAACTACCTCTCTCCTGCCACCTCCTGGGGGAAACCTGAGGAACTGGAGTGACAAAAGCATGTCCCGCTGTGGGGACAGGTCGGTGACACTGCAGAAGCCAGGGAGGGACAGACTTGTTAAGGTGCATGACCTCCCTTCTGTGTTCCTTGCTGGCACTTCCAGGATCAGGACATCACCTGGAGCTCAGCCCTGCAGGGGGGCAGGAAGGGGGTGGCAGCCCTTGGGATTCTCAGCAGGCTGGAGCCCAGGCCCCCCTGCCCCAGCAGAATGAGGCGCAGTGGGAAAAGGCAAGAGCTGGATGCCTGCACTCTCCCATCCTGCCCCAACCCTTGGTTTTGCTGCAAGGTGGGACCAAGCCACCCTCAAGCACCCACCCCATGCACCCTCCATGTCTGGCACCCTTCATGCACCCAGTGCCCCCCGGCAATAAACGCGGCTCTGTCTGGACATGATGTTGTCTCTGTGGGCAGGAGAGGTGGATGCAGAGGCACAGGGTTGGGGGCTGAGGCTTTATTGGGGCCGGAGCCGTGGGCCCTGCACAGTGAGGATGGAGGGTTTGTTGGTGAGGGGGTGCCACTGGCCCTGGATACTGGGGTTGTCACTGTGGAATGGTTTGCGGATGCGGATGATGACCAGGCCGGACTGGCCGGCCAGCTTGGTGGCCAGCTGCAGGATCTCCTCGCTTGTCTTGCTGGTGATGAGCTCCTCCCGCACTGTCCCGTTCACTGCGGCAGAGCAGGGAGGGAGCAAGAATCGTTAGGGCTGGAAGGGACCTCTGGAGATCATCCAGTCCAACCCCCTGTCAAGCCAGGGCCACCTAGAGCAGGTTATACAGGAACGGTTCCAGGGGGATTTTGAATGTCTCCAGAAAGGGAGACTCCATGACCCTCCTTGGGCAGCCTGTTCAGTGCTCTGCCACCCTCAGCGTAAAGAAGTTCTTCCTCATGTTGAGGTGAAACTTTTGTGTTTTAGTTTATGGTCATTGCTCCTCATCCTGTTGCTGGGCACCACTGAAAGAGTCTGGCACCATCCTTCTGGCACCTGTCTTTGAGATTATTTGTATGCATTCATGATATAACCCCTCAATCTCCTCTAGACTAAACAGACCCAGCTCCCACAGTCTCTCCTCATAAGAGAGATGCTCCAGATCCCTGATCATTCCGAAAGCAAGATCAGGCCAAGGTGCATCCCTCTCCTGCTCCCCCAGTTCTCCCCCCAGGGGCAGCTGCTGTTCCCCTGCCCCACAGAGCAGCTATCTCCAGTGCTGTCTGCTGCAGGGCAGAGATGGGGGAACACCAGGGCTAGGGGGACCCCATCCCCATCCTGCCCCACATCCCCCAGTTTCCCACTGCACTCACAGTACTCAGCCACCAGCACCGGGGCCGGGTTGGAGCAGGGCCTGACATAGAGGACGACATCGGGGTGCTGCCGTGCGAAGTCCAGCGCCACCTCCTCCACGAACTGCCTGCAGGGGAGGAAGGGGGGGGGGGCGG